TCCATTTCAAGAGTTACATCACGCAGGATTATATCGATGCATAAATGCATACCGAAATAACAAGAATTTAAATTTACTTCATGCAATCATCAATTTCAAGTTATCTTGTCCGCCAGCTCTCGCTAGATGGTATGCAAATTGGCAAAACTTCTTAGTTGCTATGCCTTAGTTATTTTTTACCATTCTGTTTTTTCTATTTTCGTTCTTCGTTCATCGAAAGTAAAAGAAGGAGAGAAAGATGGATAGATACATAGATAGATAGATAGAGAGAGAGAGAAAGAGAGAAACAAGAAAAAATCATTTAGAAACAAAATTGATCTATCTATATTAACAAAGTGATTACTCTAAGACAAGGAGGGAAAAATATATGCAAAAACAATTTAATAGTACATTGTCTATCTATCTAGGTAGGTAGGTAGGTACTTACGTAAGTAGGTAGAGGTAGGTAGGTAGGTAGGTAGAGGTAGGTAGGTGTNGAGAGAGAGAGAGAGAGAGAGAGAGAGAGAGAGAGAGAGAGAGAGAGAGTGGCAATAGTATAGAGAAACTAAAGAGTTGGTTACCTTAACAATCAAAGCCTAATTACCTACATAAATGTAACTTGGCTGCAGCGTCAGAAAATTGAATTATTACGAATAAAATGCGAGAATGAAAAGAAAGGAACAGCAAAGAGGAGGGCTAGCGATTACCAATTTGCCAGCAGAAAACAACCCACATATTTTACGCAAGCCTAGTCAGTGCTTCAATAAACGAACTACAAACCATAAATTTGCAATACTATCTATCTTATTTATGTCATATTAATGAGTAAAAAAGAATTGGAATGAAAATTTAAAATTTCAATAAAATACTTAAAACACATGTCCAGCTCATGAGATTCTGAATAAATAAAGAGATTGAATAATAAAATTGTACACGTTTTTATTATTGGTGTAACAAACAATACACGGAAGGAAAAGGATCAAGGCCAGTCTTGTAATAGCAGACAATCTTGAGGTCGTGGAATTCCATGTTAACCAGTAAAACATTTTTCCTTGACATTTCAAACTACATCGAAAGTAAATTTAAAAATAAATTCCTTAAAATATTGCCAGTTAATAAAATCCAGTTGTTTGATTTTTTGAGCAATGTCGGAGAAACTTGCTTGTTAAAAAGAATAAAATTCCAACCCTCACCAATGTGTGGTTTTTGCTCTTCAGTCGTAATTTTATAACTGTTGGATTTGTATTTTTTCCTTACTTTATCTGTTTATGTAAGAACGTATTTCATTTTGGAATTATGTCTCAATAGACACAAATAAAGCGCGCTAAAAATAAATTCGAGGAAGTTTAGTTAGCAACAGGGAACGTATTAAATCATTTGTTGTTACTTCCACGGTTTTATAATTTAGAAGATTAATATTTATGAATGGTATTGGTTAAGATACAAAAGTTAGTGTCACGAGCGGGATTCGAACCCACAACCTTCGGCTAGATACGCCGCTACTCTACCACTTGAGCTATTATGACTTCGATCCGCTCGGACACTAACTTCCCATCTCAACCTCTCCTCTCGAATTTTCACTGCTTTTTGCCATCTTTCAGTTGGCCAATCGGACCACAAACTGTAATGGATATAATTTAGAAGATTGGTTTCAATTTCAAAACCAAGTGTTCTCTGCGATATTTTCATTTATTTTAATTTATTTTTATTTAGAAATCGTGAGATGCGGTCTGGTGTTGTTATGTTAAGACAGACTAGCATTATTTAAGAAGGAGGACATTTTGAACATTAATTAATTTTTTGAAGCTTGAAATCAGACTTTGGATAATAGAGAATTTTTAGTCCAATTTAATATTTTAGAAAATATCCTGACGTAAATTGGAAGCTTAATTAATTTTTTAACAGTTTGTAACGAAAGAATCCATTTTTTTATCATTTAAACGTTAGTTTTATATTATTAATAACTAACCATTGAGAATTAAGTAAATGTGTTTAATGTTCATCAGTAGGGCCAAGTTATCTGCCAAACCCATATCTGTCAGTATTTACGGAACCAAAAAAATCTTGTTTAAACGGCAGACATGTACTTTGGAATCTCGTAAAGTTTAACTTACAAGTAATTTTTTGTTTTGTTTTGTTAAGCTTGCAATAAAAATCAATGAATTTTATAGCATGTTTACTGCTATTTTCTTTAATTTAATCAAATTTTCTGTAAGATTAATATTTTATGAGATACGGGGGCTTTATGGAACAAAGTTGTGTAATGTTGACATAACCTAAAAAAGAAGAAAACTATCGAGTATATTTGAGAATCAGACTTAGGGAAATACGGACGTTTTAGTCTTAATTGACAATTATAATAACATCCAGAAATAAATATTAAGTATAATTAGTTAATTAATTGTTTAATTGGTTAATTAATAATCATTATTCAGAAATCGTGAGATGCGGTCTAGTGGAATGTAGGTTTCAGAAAAACATTTTCTTTATCGTGCCAACGTTTCGATCTTTATTGAGATCATCTTCAGGGCCTGGGATTTATAAACATTGTTTAAATTTAACAAAAACATGTAAGATGTGAAAAAAGTGAATTTATACAATGCAAAAAAAAAATTTTTTTTATATTCAATCAAAGTATTTCTACTCACTCAAACTACTACTTTCATTGAATATAAAAAAATATATTTTTTGCATTGTACAAATTCACATCCTACACGTTTTTGTTAAATGTAAACAATGTTTGTAAATCCCAGGCCCTGAAGATGGTCTCAATAAAGATCGAAACGTTGGCACGATAAAGCAAATGTTTTTCTGAAACCTACATCACACCAGACAGCATCTCACGATTTCTGAATAATCATCGACTAATGGTCACTAATCAGCACACATCATTAATAATTATTTTTTAAAGTTTGTAGCCAAAAAAAATTTCTTAGAATTTAATATAAATTTTACATTGGTAATAACTAAACTAAGAAAAAAAATCTTACGTACATTTTCGAACAAACTTTGGAAACTCGTAAAAGTTTAACGTATAAGTAAATTTTGTTTTGTTTGTTTAAGCTTGCAATAAAAATCAATGAATCTTATAGCACGTTTACTGCTATTTTCTTTAGTTTAATCAAATTTTTTGTAAGATTATTATTTTATGAGATACGGGGGCTTTATGGAACAAAGTTGTGTAAAGTTGAGATAACCTAAAAAAAAGAAAAATATCGAGTATATTTGAGAATCAGACTTAAGGAAATACGGACGTTTTAGTCTTACTTGACATATATAATAACCTCCACAAATAAATATTAAGTTTAATTAATAATTATTATTCAGAAATCGTGAGATGCGGTCTGGTGTGATATAGGTTTCAGAAAAACATTTTCTTTATCGTACCAACGTTTTGATCTTTATTGAGATCATCTTCAGGGCCTGGGATTTACATTGTTTAAACTTAACAAAACATGTAGGATGTGGAAAAAAGTGAATTTATACAATGCAAAAAAAATATTTTTCTATATTCAATGAAAGTATTTCTACTCACTTAAACTACTACTTTGATTGAATATAAAAAAATATTTTTTTGCATTGTATAAATTCACTTTTTTCCACATCCTACATGTTTTTGTTAAATTTAAACAATGTTTGTAAATCCCAGGCCCTGAAGATGATCTCAATAAAGATCGAAACGTTGGCACGATAAAGAAAATGTTTTTCTGAAACCTATATCACACCAGACCGCATCTCACGATTTCTGAATAATCATCGACTAACGGTCACTAATCACCACACATTAATAATTATTTTTTACAGTTTGTAGCCAAAAAAAAATTTCTTAGAATTCAATATAATTTTTACATTGGTAATAACTAAACTAAGAAAAAAATTTTACGTAAATTTTAGAAAAAACTTTGCAAACTCGTAAAAGCTTAATTTATAATGGTTTTTTAACAATTTTGTTAGTTGACGGTTACCTTAAAAAAATAAACATAATGAATCTATTATGGTTTTCACTGTTCTTTCCATTGGTATAATCAAGGATAAAGTAGGATTAACATATATGACATATGAAGGACTTTATAGAATTAAATTGTGAAAGGTCAAAGTGACCTGAAAATTGAAATGTTTCGAATAGAATTGAAAATCAGAGTTTGAACAATGGGGACATTGTAGTCAAATTTTACATACAGGATAAACTTTGTTCACAAGACACCCTACACACAAATATGTAATGGTAATTAAATTATATTATTTTAATGTATAGGAGATTTTATTCAATTATTTTAATTTAAACAGGTTTCTTCATTTCTTTTGTAATTTGCCGTATCGATTTGAAGTCTAGGCATTCTTTTGACACAAACCGAAGGAATTCTTTTCCTTTATATCATACTTTTTATAACCCAAGTTCTAAGCAGCATATTTTGGATGAATTGCGTGCTTCAAGTTTAAATCAAAATATAAAATCAGAGTTACCTGTTTGATAGACCTGTTGTAATAGAAAGTTTAGGAGGTTTTAATTTACTTTGTAATACTTTGTCCAAAGGCAGCCTAAAAATCCGAATTAATAAAAATTTGTAGAATTTTAAGCGTCAAAGAACTGTATTTTTTTCTTTAAGTTCTTCATGTTAATGTATTTATACACCATAAATTCTGGACTTTCTTTTGTATTTCCTAATAATAGTTGGGCTTTCTTTAAAAAAAAAAAGGAAAAGCAGTAAAAAAAAATTTGCCTGTTATAAACTCAATAGGAAGAACTTTTACCGGTAAATTTTCTGCAAGACCGTCGCGATTTTATTCACTTGACGTTTCAAAAAGCCGCGGTTATTCGTTTTCTTATCTCATTGCGTACATTTGCCCCGGAGGAAAAAGAGAGCCGGTTTTTCATTCCATGCCGTAAAAAAAGAGTATTGGTTAAAAAAACAAGAGGAAATTTACATAGAACCCAATCTCGTCAGGACGGCAGTAACGCAAAGTAAATTGCATTCCCGACTCGTTCCAAGTTTAGACGATGGCCCATGGAATCCAGGCGGAAGCTCAACGGGCTTCCTGGCCGTGATATTTTATCTTTATATCTGTTTGTAGCGCTGAACGTGCAGATGGCCGCGCTCATTGCTGTCTGAGGGTCAAATCTGGTTCGGCCGATCATTTCCACACTCTCAGGGACCGCGACCGGGTTCGGAGGAAATGACACCATGTACGTCTTTTCGATATTTCTAGCGGTGATTGTCGCCTCGGATATAGTCAATGGAAGCCCAGAAATACTGGAACGGATAGTCAACGAATTTGGTATGTAATTATTGCACGTTCTGCGGATTTTACTTTGGTTGTGAAACGTTTTGTTAGAGAACAATTGCATAGCATATAGCCAACGGCTCGTGAACTCGGTAAACAAAAATAATGATTTACCCTTATCCAAATAAGTTTTGTCAAACAATATACAAAATATAAAATTTTAGCGAATCGGCGTATTTTTTCAGAATTTTATTTAGATATTCAGAAATCGTGAGATGCGGCCTGGCGTGATGTAGGTTTCAGAAAAACATTTCCTTTATCGTGCCAATGTTTCGATCTTTATTGAGATCATCTTCAGGACCTGGGATTTACAAACATTGTTTAAATTTAACAAAAACAAGTAGGATGTGGAAAAAAGTGAATTTATACAATGCAAAAAAATATTTTTTTATATTCAATCAAAGTATTTCTACTCACTCAAACTACTTTGATTGAATATAAAAAAATATTTTATATTATTACTGAAAAAGATCTCAATAAAGATCAAAACGTTGGCACGATAAAGAAAATGTTTTTCTGAAACCTACATTCCACTAGACCGCATCTCACGATTTCTGAATAATGATTATTAATTAACCAATTAAACTAAACATTTATTTCTGGATGTTATTATAATTGTCAATTAAGACTAAAACGTCCGTATTTCCCTAAGTCTGATTCTCAAATATACTCGATATTTTTCTTTTTTTTTAGGTTATGTCAACATTACACAACTTTGTTCCATAAAGCCCCCGTATCTCATAAAATATTAATCTTACAGAAAATTTGATTAACTTAAAGAAAATAGCAGTAAACATGCTATAAGATTTATTGATTTTTATTGCAAGCTTAAACAAACAAAACAAAACATTACTTAGAAGTTAAACTTTTACGAGTTTCCAAAGTTTTTTCGAAAATTTATGTAAGATTTTTTTCTTAGTTTAGTTATTACCAAGGTAAAATTTATATTAAATTCTAAGAAATTTTTTTTTGGCTACAAACTGTAAAAAATAATTATTAATGTGTGGTGATTAGTGACCGTTAGTCGATGATTATTCAGAAATCGTGAGATGCGGTCTGGTGTGATGTAGGTTTCAGAAAAAAAATTTTCTTTATCGTGCCAACGTTTCGATCTTTATTGAGATCATCTTCAGGGCCTGGGATTTACAAACATTGTTTAAATTTAACAAAAACATGTAGGATGTGGAAAAAAGTGAATTTATACAATGCAAAAAAATATTTTTTTATATTCAATCAAAGTATTTCTACTCACTCAAACTACTACTTTGATTGAATATAAAAAAATATTTTTTTGCATTGTATAAATTCAATTTTTTGCACATCCAACATGTTTTTGTTAAATTTAAACAATGTTGGTAAATCCCAGGCCCTGAAGATAATCTCAATAAAGATCGAAACGTTGGCAGGATAAAGAAAATCTTTTTCTGAAACCTACATCACACCAGACCGCATCTCACGATTTCTGAATAATCTTCGATCAACTTCACAAATCACCACACAATTTTATTTAGTTTCGGAACCCATTTATAGTGTGATATAGATATAGCATACATCAACGGAAAAAACTTGCATATTGAACACTTTTCTATGTAAGAAGGAAGGTCAATTTTTTACAGTTTTAATTTCAATTTGATTTTTTTTTAAACTCAAGTTTTTGTGTTAAAATATTGTAAGCATGTTGGGTTTAGGACCACTGAGATTCGAACCACCGACCATTAATGACGAGTCGCCGAAAAAAAAAGTTCCAACCTAACTTAACTAAGCGAAGGTAGTGAGAAAGGATAAGTACACTTATACTTACAAAATTATTGAATCTGGAGAACCTCATGGGTCTGTACAACGTCCTATACTGTTTACTATATCAAAGATTTCTTCAATTCGGCTGGAAGGTTTCTTTCACTATTTACCGATGACATGTCTGTCGAATAGCAGGACAGTCTTAAAAAAAATGAAAGATCACTTAATTTATTTAATCGGTTTCTATATAATCCATTGTCGCTTAGTGGAAAATCTAAATTTATACATTTTACTAATCAAAGCCAACCTGATAGACAAATCCAAATTATTAATTGGTAATAATTAATTATTTCAAAATGAAGCGCGCCGAACATGCTGACGACTTACAAGCCATAGAAATTTCCTTTTAGAGCAATCAATGTTGCACTCTTTGTTAAAAGTGTATTATGCTCTTATTAAGCATTATTAAGCTCTTATTATTATTGTGACTTGCAGGCTTGCTTATAAACTTGAACACCATTGGATTTAATCAAAAAAATGATAATTAAAAACGTGTTTTTAGGCAAGAGGAACCAACGTTTGTCAAATATAGGATCCCATACTTTACATAGATAAGTTTCAAAATCAGTCAAGCATCAAAGGAATCCCAATCTATTTCTACCTTAATGATAAATTGTTTCCTATATACCGGTCCCGCATAGTTTCACAAGATACCTATTGCTCCAATTCATGTATTGTTTGCGTGTAGTTTCATCTATTTTTAAATTATCAACTCGAAAATTTAAGCATGAACACGGGGTTTTTCCCGTCAATTTAACTTTAAATTTTCTAAATGACCCATAATGATTGAAGTTCATAAAAGATTAATAAACTTTTTCAACTCCAAATTAATTTTTCAAATTACAAATTGACCTTTTTAATGGAGTTTGCTATTACTCCTACGTGCCTGGAAGAAGGAAAATCGACTGAAGTATGGAAACCAAAAGATGAAGAAAAGTAGCAACTCTTTTTAACATCGAATGGACGTTTTTATTTTTTATTTCAAACTAGTCCTTTCTTTAAAACATTAAAAACATAGGAGAAGGTATGAAACATAAGCTTGTAAAATACAAATCCTGTATATTTGCATTTTTAATATAAAATAATTGAACTCTTAGAAGACCACATGAAAATTTCCGAGGTCCGCTTGACCAATTAATATCATTCAATTAGTTAAGGTTTTTAGTTGAGATAAAAAGTCAGTATCACGAGCGGGATTCGAACCCACGATCTTCGGCTTGATACGCTGCTATTCTACCACTTGATTTCGAGTTCTTAGTGCCCGAGTGGGTCGTGGGTTCCAATCCCGCTCGAGACACTGACTTTTATCTCAACTAAAAACCTTAATTAATTGAATTAGATTATAGTCTTATAAGAATCCAATTATTTTATATTTAAAAAAACCACCAATATACATGAATTTTACTTTACACGCTTATATTTCATATTACATCCTACGTTTTTGAACCTGTAAATGGGGTTAATTTTAAATTTAAAAACAGTTGATTTGAAATTAAAAACGTTAATTGAAAGTTGAAAATGGTTCAAAGCTTAAAAAATTAATTTGACGTTAAAAAATGTTAAGTTGAAGTCTAAAAAAGTTAAATTCAAATTAAATTAAAAAACGGGTTAATTTGAAGTTGGAAAAAGCTAATTTGAAGAAAAAATAGATAATTTTAAATTAAAAAGACGAATTGTTTTAAAAAAATTTTCATTTGACATTTAAGAAAGTTAATTGGCAATTATAAATGGCTAATTTATCGGAAAAAGCTACATATACATAGTTTAATCCCCTGTTCAACTTCAACATAATTTCAATTGTCGCCGAGAATCCATTCCGATTACACGACATTTGAAAAATGGCGAAAAGGAGGGAAAATTCAAAAAGGTGGGGTTGAGATGGGAAGTTAGTGTCCCAGTGGATCGAAGTCACGATAGCTCAGTGGTAGAGCAGCGGCGTATCTAGCCGAAGGTCGTGGGTTCGAATCCCGCTCGTGACACTGACTTTTTTATCTCAACTAAAACCTTAATTAATTGAAAGATATTAATTTGGTCAAGTGGGCCACGAAAACTAGTGGACTTCAACATAACTATGAAACAGTTAATTAAAGTTTTTAGTTGAGATAAAAAAAATCAATGGCTATCGTGACCTCGATCCACTTGGGCACCAACTTCCCATCTCAACCGCACCTATTGAATTTTCCCTCCTTTTTGCCATTTTTCAAATGTCGTGTAATCTGATTGGATTGTCGACGACACATGAAATGGCCACGGAAAAAAATGGCAATTGAAAAATGGCAAAAAGGAGGGAAAATTCAAAAGGTGCGGTTGAGATGGGAAGTTGGTGTCCGAGTGGATCGAGGTCACGTTAGCTCAAGTGATAGAGCAGCGGCGTATCTAGCCGAAGGTCGTGGGTTCGAATCCCGCTCGTGACACTGACTTTTTTTATCTCAACTAAAAACCTTAATTAATTGAAACATATTAATTGATCAAGCAGGCCACGAAAACTAGTGAATAATAATGAAATTTTCACTTTACTACGGTCAGCTTCATATTGATTTGTTCTCAAGCAGTTACCTGTACACCAACTTGTATGTGAAAAGCATATATTCATTTATGTTCAACAAAGTTGGGAACGAAAAAAATATAAACAAATAAACATATAGTTTAAGTGGATTCTTATCTAAAGTGCGGTTGGAACATTATTTTTAATGGAGTTTTTATCGAGACACTTCAATGGTAATTAATAAAGCAAATAGCAATTGTTGCGAAAAAGCATTGCGTATATGAATATGTAAAATAGTAACATGTTAAATCTATCAGTTAAAGCTTTTAACATGGCATTAGGTGCTATTTGCATAGTAAACGTTTTAATTAAAACTCTAGGGGGGCGTCGATGGCCGCCACGGTTTAGGCGTTGACACGGCGCTCATGACTGTAAGGTAAAGGTCCCGGGTTCGAATCCAGCGGCCCTGCATTTGAACTCGACATACTGGCAAATAGCCTTTTTTCAAAAACACCGGCACCTGAGGGTGACCTCTGCTGTTGCAAGCCAGCAGAAAAAAAACTATTGAAAACACACTGTTTTATCAATAGCTGAGTTGAATGAGGTGCTCAGAAATTCCAGACATGAGGAAAAAATGGACACTAGATTTGTATATTCAACACTTATAAGTTTCTAATATAAAGTTCAGCAACGTCAATCGAATTAATATCGA